TGAGGCCTCTGTTCTGTTCCATTGGTCTATATCTCTGTTTTGGTACCAGTACCATGCTGTTTTGAATATTATAGCCTCGTAGTATAGTTTGAAGTCCAGTAGTGTGATGCCTCTCCCTTTGTTCTTTTTACTTAGAATTGATTTGGCTATGCGGGCTCTCTTTTGGCTCCATATGAAGTTTAAGGTGTTTTTTTGCAGTTCTTTTAAGAAGGTCATTGGTAGCTTGATGGGGATAGCACTGAATCTGTAAATTACTTTGGGCAATATGGCCATTTTCACGATATTGGTTCTTCCTAACCATGAACATGGAATGTTTCTCCATCTGTTTGTATCCTCTCTTATTTTGTTGAGCAGTGGCTTGTAGTTCTCCTTGAAGAGGTCCTTTATGTTCTTTGTTAGTTGTATTCCTAGGTATTATATTCTATTTGTAGCAATTGTGAATGGCAGTTCATTCTTGATGTGGCTGTATTTAAGTCTGTTATGGGTGTATAAGAATGCTTGTTATTTTTACACATTGATTTTGTATCCTGAGACTTAGCTGAAGTTGCTTATCAGTTTCAGGAGATATTGGGCTGAGACGATGGGGTCTTCTATATATACAATCATGTCATCTGCAAATAGAGACAATTTGAATTCCTCCTTTCCTATTTGAATATGCTTTATTTCTTTTTCTTGCCTGATTGCTCTGGCTAGAACTTCCAGTACTATACTGAATAGGAGTAGTGATAGAGGGCATCCTTGTCTTGTGCCAGATTTCAAAGAGAATGCTTCTAGTTTTTGCCCATTCAGTATGATATTGGCTGTTAGTTTGTCATAAATAGATTTTATTATTTTAAGATATGTTCCATCAATACCTAGTTTATTGAGGATTTTTAGCATAAATGGCTGTTGAATTTTGTCAAAGGCCTTCTCTGCATCAATTGAGATAATCATGTGGTTTTTGTCTTTGGTTCTGTTTATGTGGTGAATTACGTTTATAGACTTGCGTATGTTGAACCTTCCTTGTATCCCCGGGATGAAGCCCACTTGATCATGGTGGATAAGCTATTTGATGTACTGTTGCAATCGGCTTGCCAGTATTTTATTGAAGATTTTTGTATCCATGTACAACATGGATATTGATCTGAAGTTTTCTTTTCTTGTTGATTCTCTGCCCGGTTTTGGTATCAGGATGATGCTGGTTTCATAAAATGATTTGGGAAGGATTCCCTCTTTTTGGATTATTTGGAATAGTTTCAGAAGGAATGGTACCAGCTGCTCTTTGTATGTCTGGTAGAATTAGGCTGTGAACCCATCTGGTCCTGGCCTTTTTTTGGGTGGTAGGCTCTTCATTGCTGCCTCAACTTCAGAACTTGTTATTGGCTTATTCAGGGTTTCAACTTCTTCCTGGTTTAGGCTTGGGAGGAGGCAAGTGGCCAGGAATTTATCCATTTCTTCCAGGTTTACTAGTTTATGTGCATAGAATTGTTTGTAGTAATCTCTGATGATGGTTTGAATTTCTGTGGAATCTGTGGTGATATCCCCTTTAACATTTTTTATTGCATCAATTTGTTATTCTCTCTTTTCTTTTTTATTAATCTTGCTAGTGGTCTGTCTATTTTGTTGATCTTTTTGAAAAACCAGGTCTTGGATTTATTGATTTTTTTTGAATGGTTTTCTGTGTCTCTATCTCCTTCAGTTCTGCTCTGATCTTAGTTATTTCTTGTCTTCTGCTAGGTTTTGAGTTTTTTTGGTCTTGCTCCTCTAGCTCTTTCAATTTTGATGATAGGGTGTCAATTTTCGATCTCTCCTTGCTTCTCATTTGGGCACTTATTGCTATATATTTTCCTCTAGAGACTGCTTTATATGTGCCCCAGAAATTCTGGCATGTTGTGACTTCGTTCTCTTTGGTTTCGAAGAACATCTTTATTTCTGTCTTCATTTCATTGTTTATCCAGTCAACATTTAAGAGCCAGTTGTTCAGTTTCCATGAAGCTGTGTGGTTCTGAGTTAGGTTCTGCATTCTGAGTTCTAACTTGATTGCACTGTGGTCTCAGAGACTGTTGGTTATGCTTTCCATTCTTTTGCATTTGCTGAGGAGTGATTTGCTTCCAATTATGTGGTCAATTTTAGATTAGGTGTGATGTGGTGCTGAGAAGAATGTATATTCTTTGGATTTGGGGTGGAGAGTTCTGTAAATGTCTATTAGGTTTGCTTGTTCCAGGCCTGAGTTCAAGTCCTGGATATCCTTGTTAATTTTCTGTCTGGTTGATCTGTCTAATATTGACAATGAGGTGTTAAAGTCTCCCACTATTATTGTGTGGTAGTCTGAGTCTTTTTGTAAGTTATTAAGAACTTGCCTTATGTATCTAGGTGCTCCTGTATTGGGTGCGTACATATTTAGGATCGTTAGCTCTTCTTGGTGCATTCATCTTTTTACCATTATGTACTGTCCTTTTGTTCCTCTTTTGATCTTTGTTGCTTTAAAGTCTATTTTATCAGAAACGAAAATTGCAACTCCTGCTTTTTTTGCTCTCCGTTTGCTTCGTAAATCTTCCTGCAACCCTTTACTTTGAGCCTTTGTATATCCTTGCATGTCAGATGGGTTTCCTGGATACAGTACACCGATGGATTTTGGGTTTTTATCCAATTTGCCAATCTGTGTCTTTTGATTGGGGCATTTAGTCCATTTACATTTAGGGTTAATATTGTTATGTGTGAATTTGATACTGCCATTTTGATGCTGCTGGCTGTTTTGTTCGTTAGTTGATGCAGTTTCTTGATTGTGTTGATGCTCTTTACCATTTGGTATGTTTTTGGAGTGGCTGGTACTTGTTGTTCCTTTGTATGTGTACATCCTCTTTCAGGAGCTCTTGTAAAGCAGGCCTGGTGGTGATGAAATCTCTGAGTACTTGCTTGTTGGCAAACGATTTTATTTTTCCTTCACTTATGAAGCTTAGTTTGGCTGGATAGGAGATTCTGGGTTGAAAGTTCTTTTCTTTAAGGATGTTGAATATTGGCCCCCACTCTCTTCTGGCTTGTAGGGTTTCTGCTGAGAGGTCTGCTGTGAGTCTGATGTGCTTCCCTTTGTGAGTGACCCAACCTTTCCCTCTTGCTGCCCTTAGCATTTTCTCCTTCATTTCAACCCTGGTGAATCTGACGATTATGTGCCGTGGGGTTGCTCTTCTTGAGGAATATCTTTGTGGTGTTCTCTGTATTTCCTGGACTTAAATATTGGCCTGCCTTGCTAGGTTGGGGAAGTTTTCCTGGATAATATCCTGAAGAATATTTTCCAGCTTGGATTCATTCTCTCTGTCACATTCAGGTACACCTATCAAACGTAGATTAGGTCTTTTCATATAGTCCCACATTTCTTGGAGACTTCGTTCATTCCTTTTTACCGTTTTTTCTCTAATCATGCCTTCTCATTGTATTTCATTGAGTTGATCCTCGACCTCTGATATCCTTTCTCCTGCTTGGTCAATTTGGCTGTTGAAACTTGTGCATGCTTTGCAAAGTTCTCGTGTTGTATTTTTCAGCTCCATCAATTCACTTATATTCCTCTCTATGTTGTCCATTATCGTTAGCATTTCGTCTAATCTTTTTTCAAGGTTCTTAGTTTCTTTGCATTGGGGTAGAACATGTTGTTTTAGCTCATGGAAGTTTCTTATTACCCACCTTCTGAAGTCTGATTCTGTCATTTCATCACACTCCTTCTCCATCCAGCCTTGTTCCCTTGCTGGTGAGGAGTTGTGATCCCTTGTAGGAGGAGAGGTGTTCTGGTTTCAGGTGTTTTCATCCTTTTTGCGCTGGTTTCTTCCCATCTTTGTGGGCTTATCCACCTGTTGTCTTTGTAGTTGCTGACTTTCAGATTGGGTCTCTGGGTGAACTTCCAGTTTGTGGATGATGAAGTTATTTCTGTTTCTTAGTTTTCCTTCTAACAGTCTGGCCCTTCTGCTGTAGGACTGCTGAGGTCCACCCCAGACCCTGCTTGCCTGGGTATCACCTACAGCAGCTGCAGAACAGTAAGGGTTGCTACCAGTTTCTCCTTCCGCTATCTTTGTCCCGGAGAGATATCCATCTAGTTTCAGTCTGTTCTTTCCTTTATTAGGTGACTCTTTGGACACACAGGGGTCAGGGAGCTGCTTGAGGAGACAGTCTGTCCTTTATTGGAGCTCAAGTGCTGTGCTGTGAGCTCCGTTCTTCTTTCAGCATTGCTGGGCATGTGTGTTTAGTTCTGCTGGAGTAGAACTCATAAACTCCTTTTTTTTTTTTTTTTCCCTCAGGTGCTCTGTCCCAGGGAGTTAGGGCTTTATTTATGAGTTTTCATCATGCTTGTGCCTTTATTTTTCAGGGCTGCCCTGCCCAACAAGGAGGCAACCTAGTCGCTGTCTTCCTGCAGAGGCTTTGCTGAGGTGCTGTGGGCTCCGCCCAGCTGCCGTGTGAACTTCCCTGCAGTCCTGTTTATATAGGTGTAGTTAGAACTGCCTCCACAATGGTGGCCCACCTCTGTAACCGCAGACTCTCTCTTTAATGGCAGGTTGCCTTGGCAATGGCAGGCTGCCTCAGCAATGGCGGACTACCTCTGTAGCGGTGGAGTGTCTCGGTAATGGCAGATGCCCCTCCCCCACAGAGGTGGACCGTGTCGGGTGCAGCTGTCCTTGCTGTGAAACTCTCAACCCAGAGCGTTTTCAATTGCTGTTTTTTTTTTTTTTCCTGTGGGGGTGTGTCCAGCTGAGCTGATCACCTGACTCCCTGACTTAGAGTTTTTTTTTTTTTTTTTTTTTAGTTGAACGGTCAACTCTCTCCCTGGTGTTCCAGTCACCTGTTGAAAAGGTGCTGGATCTGTGTGATTTCCCATGCTGCAACTCACTGCGCCAGCTAAAACAGCAGCGCTGAGATTCATGGAGGTTTTTTTACTCAGGAATCTCCTGGCCTGGCTCCCTGTTTCAGTTACTTTTTAAATCAGATGAATGGGCAATCAGCCTCCCCAGGTCTCCAATCGCCAGCTAAAAGCATACCCAGACCAGTGTATTTTGTATGGAGAACCTCTGCGCCAGCGTGCCGGCAGAGCAGCCGCATGGGCCAAAACAGCCATGCTGGCAACCCGTGGGGCTCCTCTGCCTGGGAATCTCCTGGTCTGTGGGCAATAAAAATCCATCTGGAAATGCGGCATCCACTCACCCTCTGCACTTTCACTGGGAGCTGCAATCCTGAGCTGCTACTAATCTGCCATCTTGGATCCGTCCTCTTGTGATCTTTTAACAGGGTGATTATGCAAGGAGATAATAAAATAGCTGACTTTTCAGGGATTAAATAGGCACTGGCACCGAACTGACTAATTCCAGAAGACCCAAAATGTCACTATTCACTAGAGTAGGAGTTTCTGTAGAATAGACAATCAATAAACTTTCAACTTAAGTCCATCTACACTACCATCCAGTGGGTCTGCAAACTCATCCTATTGTTATTTACCTAGTATAAGCATGCATAATTAGAACATTTAGGCTCAGCAATGGGCAGAATGCCTCATTGGTTCCCTGACCTATAGAATAAGAACTTGATAGTAATCTGGAATTGAGGCAGGGATAGTAAAGAACATCAGAGATTGGCTAAAGGGCAGAATGAGTAAGAGCGTGACAGCAGAAGCATGGTGAAGGGGTGAGTGAGCAAGTAGCTAGAGAAGAAGCAGAGGTTCAGCAGCCAAAACAAAGGTGAGATTTTAAAAAACTGAGTAAGGAGCCCCCATGACCAGCTACATCCAGACCAAACCTGGCAAGGGCAACTCCTCAGAGATGGGCATACACATTAAATTGAAAAAGTGTCCTTAACATGACCCCATATGGTAATTAGCTACTTGATGGTCATGCATTTGGACTGCATATTATACCTGTACTTAAAATTATGGGATGGAAATGACATGCAAGCACACAAGGGCCAAAGAAACTAAGCAATTGACCAATCAATCCAAAGGCAGAAACTGGCTAGATTAGGCAGCCTTGGGAAAATGAAAAAGAGAAAAAAATCATAAAAAATTTAAACTACACTAAGTTGGGGCTGATGTCATTTCACAGAGGTCAGTCTGCCCTTCCACTCTGAGAGTGTAATACTGCACTTAATAAACTATTACTGCTTTGCTATCTGTGTGTCTCACATACAATTCTTTGTTTGGGACACCAAGAGCCTGCAACTTCATGGCACCATCTAGTATCATAAATTTGGCAATCCAGCTGGGAGGTAAAATTTTATTTTTGTTCATGTCTTTCTGTTGTCTTGTGTCCAAGCCACTCCCTCAGGTCATGGGTCAGGCAGTTAAGAGCCATTAGGGAGAAGACTTCCACAGCTGAATAACTTGGTCAGGGAATGGAGCAGTTAGGCTCTGCTAGGTGCTAAAAAAATCCCTGCCTCACTGAGGTTTATGTGTGTGTGTCAATAACATTATGACTTCAGATCTTTCCTATTTAAGATCAGATATGTTTATTTTTATGGCATATTAGGAATAAGGGAACAAAAGTATTAAATCCCAACAATAAATGTAGACCAATACAGAATATTTCTTCTAAAGAGAGAATTATAATGGCTGCAGATGCTATGTAGGGAACAGAAGGGCTCCCATTAATTCTACACACGGGACCCCTTCATTGGCTGAACAGAGTAGGGTGAGTATTTTTGTGTGTGTGATGGCTCTGACCTATGGAAGCCACCTTGTATAATAGGCTGCATGTTAAACCACAGTACATAATGGCACATTTTATACCACTGCCTCAACCATGTGACTGGTGGTTGGGGAAATCCCATTGCCTGTCTTCTTTGGTATAGCTTGTGGCCCTAGAGAAACCCTCTTGATAGGTCTTCAACTAACCAATTTCAGGCCCATCCTTTATAAGCATTAACAAGCAGAGCCATAGACTCCTATCTAGCTAGGGAGGCTCTTTGGGGAAAAAACATTTTTACTGGTTATAGGGATATAAAGAGCAAGGGTTTACACCCAAGCACAAAGGGAAAACTCATTTTTGGACACCATTTGTGAAGAAATTCCCAGGTTCTAAGTGGCATGGGTACCCATCCAAGGTCAGAAATATCTGACATTCTAAGACCGGAGATGTCTGGCACACTGAAAAGAGAACCATATGGGGGATGCCCCAGTGGACCTCATCTCCGTCACAGACAGTCCACAGAGTACACCCAATGAGAAACATTAGGCCAGAGATCCTGAAATTTTCCCTTATTCTTCTCCACAGCCAAACATCAAAACTCTGTCTGGATTTTGCCTGATACCCACCTTGGCTGCATTCTCAACCACTGGGAAAAATTTGACCCTGACGACTTGCAGAAGAAACACCTTGTATTCTACTGCAACATAGTTTGGCCACATTACCAATTAGGCAGTCAGAAACAGTGGGTGGTCAATGGTAGCTTTAATTTTGACATCATCCTACAGCTAGACCTATTTGGCAAAAAGCACGGAAAATGGTCAGAAATTCTGTATGTTCAAGTCTTTATGGCCTTATATCAAAACCATTCCATATGCAAGGCCCTAAGAGGAATCCCAAGGCAGAATTAGACATAATCTGCCCTTTCAATTAGAAAATCTCCCATTGCAGGGTACACCAGTCTCTCAGAGGGAGCAACAGCTCCCTCCATATAATTCCCCACCTAGCATGCCAGAAAGAGAACTACAGGGACCCATAGAAGTTCCATTAAGCCCTTGTCACACATGCCAGTGCACCCCATATGCTGATCCTTGTCCAACTCTGCTCCCTCTTGGAAAAGTGACAGGACCAGAAAGCCCAGTGAGAACACAGGCCCCTTTCTCAGTGACAGATATACAACAATGCAAAGAAAATCTAGGAAGCTATTTTGAAAATTCCAGGAAGTTTGAAAAAATGTTTCTAACTCTCTTTTGGACCCTCTTTCATGGAGAAATGTACAATTCATTCTAGCTACTTGCTGCACCCCATTAGAGAAAGAAAAGGTTTTTGAGGCTGCCCATCAGGAAGCAGACTATTTATTTACCTAAAATCCTTATAAAAATCATCATGGGGTAGGCGCCATTCCCATAATTGACACTGAATGGAATTATAACTCCCTAGATGGGTGACTCATAAAGCAAAATTTCTAGAGGCTCTTATAGGGGGAATAAGAAAGGGAATAGCAGAGCCTGTAAGCTACGACAAGTTAAGAGAAGTCACCCCGGTAGAAAAATAACCCAGCCATGTTATATAGCGAGCTAGAAGAGACTTTTAAAAATATACACCAACCCAGATCTGGCTTCTCAGAAAGGGAAAGTACTTATGGCCCAGCATTTTATCAACCAATCCACCCCAGACATTAGGTGCAAGCTCCAGAGCTGCAAACACCTCAATCACAATTCTTAATACTTCCTTCATGGTATATAACAACCATAACCTGAAGGAAGGGAAGAAAATAAACAGCAAGACAAAATTATGTCTGTCCTCATTGGCATTGCCCCAAAGGCTCAAGAGGGGTCTGAAAGAAACCAGTGAGGGCTTAGAGATAACAGCTTTTGCTTTAAATGCAGGAAAAATGGACTTTGGGCAAAGAATTTCGCCAAGCTCCTTCCAAGCCCCTGTCGGCAATGCAAATGTTCCAAGTAAAATCCCTGGCACTGGAGAATTGACTGTACCCATTCTCACTGAGGGCCCCAGCCAGTTAAAACTCTAGCAGTGCAAAAGGGGGAACTAAACAAAGACTGAAGGGGCCTGGGGTCTTCCTCACTGCCCCTGTCCAGGAATATCGTCATTACCACTGAGGAGCCCCAGGTAACTCTGGACGTCATGGACACTATTGCTTTTTGACACAGGGCAAATTATTCTGTCCTCAGTGCTTATGCAGGGTGACTTTCCTCCTGGTCTATAAGTGTTATGGGAGAAAGAACACAGACTAAATTTTTTACTTCTCCCCTGATCAGCCAGTTTCAAGCAAAAGTTTTTGAGCAGGAGTTTCTAGTAATGCCAAGACACCAAGTTCCTTTGTTAGGAAGTCACATTATGGTCAAAATAGGGTTACTGCTGCAGTTATGGCACCACCAGGCACAAATATTAATGATTTAAAATATAAACAGTGTCCCAGACAATATTAATAAACATGTCAACCCACTAGCATGGTATACTGGGAAATTGGGGAAAGCTAAAATGGCAATACCAGTCAAAACACAGCTTTAAAACCCTGAATACTTTCCTAGTCAAAAACAATATCCAATTAAACCAGAAGTAAGGAGAGGATTACTACCCATAATTCAGGAACTGCTAGTCCACGGACTTTTGATACCTTACAGCTCCCCTTGCAACATCCCTATATTACCCTTCTTACAGCCTTTAGAAGAATACTGGCTAGTACAAGATCTTAGAATAATTAATGAAGCTGTTATCTCCCTCTATCCACTGGTAGCAGCTCCATACATTCTCCTAGCTCAAGTGCCAGGAGATGCCAAATGGTTTTTAGTCTTAGACTTAAAAGATGTATTTTTCTCTCCATTCCTCTGGCCCCAGAATTTCAATATCTTTTGCTTTTGAATGGGAAGATCCAAATACAAGAAAAAAACAACAATACACTTGGACAATGCTCCCTCCATGCTTTCAGGATAGCCCCCATTATTTTGCCCAAGACTTAGAGAAAGATCTGAGAAACTTACAGCTACATAATGGGAGGATACTCCAGTATGTGGATGATATCTTACCAGGGAAACTTCTGATCAAAAACAATAAAAACATTGAACTTTCTGGCAGAATAGGGTTATAAAGTTTAAAAGAAAAAAGCCCAAATTACTCTCCTACAAGTTCAATATATGGGATACATTTTAACACCTGGAGCCCAACAAAGATCCCCAGGGTAGGTACAAGCCATATGTGACTTGGGGTCTTCCCACAATAAGCAATAGCATTGCACATTTCTGGGAATGGCTGTATTTTGTAGAATATGAATCCCAAATTTCAGACTCATAGAAAAACCCCTCTATAAGGGCACAAGGGGGTCAGAAAATAAGCCAATTGAATGGACCTGAGAAATGAAGGAAGCCTT